CTTCCCCAAATCTAAAGATTTATAACAAGAGAGCAAAAGCAACCAAGGCCATTTACATTGCCACAGAACTCGGTTAGTTCTAATTTCCATCCGTGTGCAATGAGACTGGGCTCTGAACTCCCTAATACCTCAGGTAGCACAGGTGTTCTCAGCTTGGAGCAGCTGGCACCTGCTAATTAAAAAGACTCAAAAGAACAGTTTCTCCATATTTTTAAAACAAGATCCTTTGCAAGATCTTCATAACTACTGTTAAAATAGCTTGATATATTTTTCTTTCTTTTCCTGAAAATAAATGCTTGGATTTCCAAGACAACAACGTGATTAGAACACTGTAAGAAATAACCTTTTTAAAGGTTAAAATTAAATTGACAATGAAACAGTAAACACAATAATTGACTGAGGAAAGTGTTTGATGGACATCTGTTTTCTCCAAAGGTAAGCTTAGCACACGTAGAGTTAATAGAATAAATAAAACATTGGCTGTGTTGCTCAGAGCCAACCTGTGATCTCCAGGTGTGGAGAGAAGTTTTTTCCTTGCGATGGGCCAAAATTTCTCCAAGTATAGCATTCCTTTCACATGGGCATGCTGTTGGAACAGGCAAAATACCCATGTGTGAATCCAAAAAGTCTTTAGGGATCAACTGGATTAAACCTCCAGCACCAGGCTTAGTGCTACTAATCATTACCGAACACGGAAGAATAGTGTGCATTTATTTCCGTGCTGTTTTATTCCCCAAAATACTTTCTGGATGTTATGCATAGATATTTAGGCCTTTTCACCACATTTTCCAGAAATGTGTCCATATGAAAAGCATGGTATACTTGGAGAGGTTTAGCCTACCACAAGGAAAAACGGATTTTCAAGTTTCGGATTTGAGCAAGGCTACTGCATAATGTGCAGTGTGTAAATGTCCATACTTTTCCATTACTGATGTTGACTACAACAATTAAGTAGTGAACCACTATGGTAAATACAAATCTGTCCAGATTTGGGTATCTGAATTTGAGATCTATATGCTGTGTCTTTAAGATGTCATGGATGTTTTAAATACATGTCTACAACTGGAAAGCATGAATACTACCCCCACACCCACAAACACAAATAGAGGCATACTCAAGGAGCTGAGACTATGTCCTCTACCTGACTGTACACATGATGGCAAATCTGGGTTCTCCACTAAATAATGTGACCCAGCATAACTACAAGATCCTTCTCTGTCCTTGGACCCACCTTACGGAATGTTCTGCCAAAACTTGGTCAGGCACAAACACTGCTGTTGCAGGTAAAACTGAGGGACCTTAAGAAGGTATTTGGTTAAACATTTATGGTTAATTGCTACTTTCACAAACTGTTCTTGTTTATTAACTTTTTAAAAGACTGTTTTACATATTAATGATCATCTGTTTACCACATAGAGTTCCCTTACATGAAAATAGGTGGGATATAAGCTTTTAGCATGAATAAAACAAAATGCATGGGGTTGGATCCAAATTTAAGTGCGTGCAACTGGGTTGGAAGTTGTGAGCTGTCACTGTCTCACAACTGCTCCTTCAGCACTTCCCAAAAGCCATTCACAGGGCCAGAGGACTCTGCTGAATGGGACAGGGTATTTTGCTGGGAATCCCTCAAAACTGTGTAACTGGAGGTATAATAAAAAGTTGCCTTAACGCTATTATTTCAGATAGCTCAATATAATCAGATTTTTCCTATCTTGAAAAGACTTTGATTTTATTCATGAGCAAATTCTTACCAAGACTCTGATCTTTATGAACTCTTATTTTCTATTAAGAATGTAAAAAGGGGCAGGGGAATCAGCCTGCCTTATGTTCCAGTTTTACAAAGAAGAAGGAACTTAAGAATCTGTTATGTCCTCTGTGAACTTGATCTTTTAGCTGTGGTGAAAATTCTCTTAAAGCTATAATTTTCAAGTTAAATGATGAGAGCATTCATTTGCTTTCCAAGCAGACACAAAACCTTTTTCAAATAGACTCACACTGCAGTGACCTTGGTCTATGACTTCGAGTTCACCACATGCAATAATTTACCTTACCCCATGGGACTCACTGGTATGTCTTTTCTGAAAAGGTTTTAGATTTGGAGGCATCACTAGAACTAATAATATAATATTCTCTAAACCAAGTAATATATTGGTGAGTCTTGAATACCAATTGAATCAAAAGAATTTAATATAGATTTAAATGCCTAACACCAGGTCATAAATAAGAGCCACATAGAGGGTTCCTTTAAAGAATTTTTGTAAAGATAGGTCACACACCTTGAGTGTGCGATGACTGTAAATGATCATCATGCTATTTGGTGAATGAAAGGAAGTTGGAGTAGAAACGTGGTATGGAAAAAAGCAATTCTTCATTTGGGATCCTTTCAGTGGGGAAGGGGAACTGAGCTTGAAGGGAAGGGGCCTCAATTTTACTTCTTAACTACTACTTCAGGCCCAAGAGAACAAGCAGTTTCTGTCAGTCTATTAAAGGCCAATTCCAACACGTTTATACTGGTCTGGTGACCTCTACTGCCAAGCTCCTTGATAATACTGTGGGGGTAGAATTAGGAGAGAAGCAGAATATTATTCACACACTGACTTGGTCCACATTTCATAGCAACAATGCCTGGGTTTTTTAACCATAAGTCATGTGCTCCTGCTTTTAATTAACAATGCAAAATGTCCTGTTTCTAGGTTATTTCATGAGGTGCAAACCCATAAACTCTGGATCATTTGTCAGTTAAACAATCCAGAGTTAACCCAAGAACACCAGGGGAAATTGCTGAGTTAAACCTGGGTTGTTTAAACAATAAATAATCCAGAGGTCTACGTTCACATATCATGAAATAACCCATGAAATATTTCTGGATTCTTAATTAAAAGCATAAACAATAAGCATGCAGCTTGTGTGTTCTGCTTGTCTCCGTAATTCCTGGATTAAATAACCCAGGTATTTGTGCTGTAATATGTGAAGCAGGTCAACCAATAATTCTCTATAATGATATGGAGACATCTCCCGTCCTCCCCTCTTGCCCATATTTAGATTTCCAGGGCATTCACACGCAGAGGCAACAATATTCAAACCCATATTTGAGTATAAACTAAAACACATTTGAGAGTTCAAAAAGTTCTGCCTGTTTACTGACACATCAATTGTCTTTAACATTTTACAGTTTATTTTGCATCATTTCTTCTGTACATCCTTTTTGATAGTTCAACAATCTTTGCCAAGATCTGCCCTCAGACAGACTTTCTCCAAATTCTTAAATGTCATTCTATTCTTATGGGACTAAACACACAAGACCAAATAAAATATACCACATCATTGCTTCCACTTCAAACATAATGATCTTTCACAGTTTCTTCTTAGCTTATAAAAACTAAAGCACCCAGAAGCAGTGAATTATGTGCACATATTTCATAATATCTACTATCTGTACAAAATGGCAAGTCATCTTAGCCACTATTTTGGCACATTTGGATATGCTAAAAGAACACGTAGTCAATCCATCTCTTACTTGGGTCTTCCTTTTCTTTGAAGGTAGAAGAAGAAAAGGAAGACCAAACAAGAGATGGATTGACTCCACAAAGGAAGCCACAGCTTTGAATTTAGAACAGCTAGGAAAGGATGTCATGGACAGGATATTTGGAGGGCTTTCATTTATAGGGCTGCCATTAAGTCAGAGACAACTTGACAGCCCAAAATAGCAACAGCAAACAAAAAAATAACACTTGCCATGGAATATTGCTTTGGTATATTATATTCATGTCATATAATAGGACTACATTCAAATGTATTTGGGTATGATTTGTCACATACAGTGCGAACCCAGAGATATTGCTGGACATGTCAGAATCTTTTAAGATGTTCACTTACCAACTAGCCCCAAACAAGGATTTTACACTTAGCCCGGGGAAGAATTCGAAAAAGCCTGTCTGCTGGTTTGTTGCAGTTCAGTTGACCCAAATTGCCTTAGATTTTGGAAGGTGTAGAGCTACTTTCCTCTTACTGCTCCTCTTGGTACCAATCTAGCGACTGTAGAATGCTAACTATACAAATGGGAGAACACCATTTTGCTGCCAGGAAAGGGTAGAGAAGCCTTTTTCCTGATTCTAGGCATATGTACACAACAGACAATGACAGCTCTGCAATAATGCTTCAATGTCTCTGAAATGTTATTCTCTGTAAATAGCCACAGGAGGCTTTCAAAAGATTTCATATAAAAAAGAGAGAGAAAATTGAGCAAAATACATGAAAGGAAGGAAAACACTGTTCTCCCACATGCCTGTACCCACTCTTCACTAGAGCAGAACAGGTGCTATTTGGGGTGAAATTCTGGCTTTCAGAGTAGTCAGTGTATCCAGATTATTGTGAATTCATGCATCTTCTTTTATAATAGCAGAACCTTCCCAGAGCAGACTGGCCTTATTCATCCTGAGCTTGTGCCTAGAATGCTTCTTGTTGTAAGTTGTTAATCACTAATTGTTTTTACATTATACATCTATCTCAGTTCTATTACACTATTCTGTGTGTAAACTAGATAGAAGTTTTATTATATTATGCAGTATATAACTATTATAAATATAAATAAGACAACAGTAACAATTAAGAAATGAAGATTACAAGTATTTGTTACCTACTTCTATGAAATTTAGTGAAAATAGTTTTCACAGTGTCTATGTCTAAGTGTCTATGTCCCCAATTTGAAGGAAAGTTGGATCTATTTTTATTGCAGTTAAACATCTACTATATGAATGTATTGTTGATGTATTTTCTCCATTAAAGTAAGCAGTTTTCAGTTTAACTCAAATAAAATTTGGTATTTAAGATATTTATACTTGTAGATGAAATATAAAATACACCAAGTTTCATGCTTCTACCTTGTCTGAACAATGGTTAGAATTAAATTCATGATGATCACCGTTAATTCATATTCTTTCACATCTTGCTCTCTGCACAAAAGCATTTTTTGAAAGAAAGCCTAAAAAAGTTAAACTCACCTCATTCCCACCAACAGCTTTGGTTAAAATCACTGCTGAAGATACAGGAGGTGGCATACAGCCTACCGTCTGCAAACTAAGGGAAAGGGGGAGAAAACATAAATTCTAATGTAATATTCATTCTATTCAATTACCAAACAATCCACAGAGGAGAATGAAAACAATCACACACTAATTCATAAGCCATGAATGCAAAAGTTCTTTATTTAATGACCAGAATACAGAATGCAGGGAAGATTTCTGAACTCTCTCACACAGATATTTCTCTGATCTCAGTCAAGTCTGAGTTATTTCCACATTGTTTTATACATCCATGCATGCACAGATCGCTGATTTAGAAATCCTTGTGCATTACCCAAGGTACTGCGTGTTGGTCTTAACAGAGCAGGGCTTCTACATTCATTGGTGAGACAAACTGTGCACATCCAAAAGAATTTCTATGCCTACACCCTCAGTTAAAGCAAATAAAGACTTTTGAATTGCACTGAAGAAAAGGTTTTGGATCAGGATAACTGAGCATGGGCCAATTCTGTATCTGCATAAATAACCAAGTATCTTCATAAAAATGACCACATAATCCTCTAATACAGGCATCTCCAACCTGGCACAGTCCAGATGTATTGAATTTCAACTCCTGTAATTCCCAGCCAGTATGGCGGTTGGCCATGCTAACTGGAAATTATTAGGGTTGCACTTCAACTCATCTGGCAGGTGTCAAGTTGGAGATCAGTTTGCCCTAATAAATCACTTTGCAACAGCATACACGCTTAACAATAATCTAGATGTGTTACTTATTTCTTTCCAGATGTATGCAGATGCATGAGCAGCTCACAGAAGTAATGCAATGCAAAACAATGAATTGGAGAAGCAGCTCTCTGTGTTATAATCTGGCTAGTTTTCTTCAGTAAATGAAGTCTTATCCTAGTAGCCGTATGGCTCAAGGCCTAAACTACGATTTCCTAAACACTTCAATTGTTCAAGCTTCATTCATGTTAATGGGATGTGTGGCAATGGATTGCTTTGAGAGATGACCAATCAGTCTATTAAATTCAGAAAAGGTTTCAAGATCCCTCCTCAGTTATGGAAAATAACCCATAGAATGGTGGCTGTACAACACTTGCCCTAATCAGTTTTGGCTTGGAACATTCCTAGATGAACAGAGGCTGTCCTTTTGCTTCCTTGGTATATTCAGCAACTTGAATGTCTAGGAAGCTTACAGGATTTTTTTTTTAAATTAAGCCTCTGCTTATAGTCAATGGAACATGACTCTAAAGAGATCCAGGTACACATGTAGCTGGCTCAAGGTGCTTGGCCCATTAAGTCCAGTATTGCTAACATTGACAAAACTCTCCCAAACTTTGAGGCAGGACTCTTTCTTGGTCCTATCTGGAAATGCTGAAGATTGCACCGAGGATCAAGCAGGTGCTACACTACAGAGCTATGGCCACTCCTCACAGAAAACAGATATTAAAACTGAAGCCCAGCTCTGTACAGTGGTACCTTGGCTCATGAACTTAATCCCTTCTACGACTCGGACTGTGACCCAAATTGGTTGTGACCCAAGTCAAATTTCCCCATAAGATTCAATGTAAATAAGGTTAATCCATTCTGGCCCCTCCGAGTGTGGCTGTGAGCCAATTTTTGGTCATAAGCCAAGTCAAATTTCCCCGTAAGGTTCAATGTAAATAAGATTAATCCATTCTGTAACTATTTTTTTTAATCAGAAAAATTTGAATCAAAGTGACAAAGAACAAAAAAATAACAAAGTACTGTACAGTACAGTGGAGAACACTAACCTAGGTGGTGGGGAGGTTATTGTTTTGAGGGAGAGTAGTCCCCCTCCTTAAGGACATTGGAAGATCTCCTTCAGGGGTTTCCTCTCTTCTTTGTCTCTTAGCTGCAGGGTCAATTTTGGTGAAAAATCTGTCTATAGTCACTTGTTTTTTCCTGCGCTGCATAACCCTCCAGAAATGAGAGACCATGTTATCGTTCATAAGATTCAACACTCTGTAACAGAGTTATGTTGGGGTGGTGCTACTCAAAGAAATCCTGGCACTCATTCCATTTTTTCATAGTGGACTGTATCACATCACTGCTAACCTCCTCCCTGTCTTCCTCTTCCTCAGTGGAATCCTCCTCAGCAAGTGCCTTCTGCTGCTCACTCTGGAGTTCAGCAAGTTCTTTTGTCGTCAGCTCCTCTATGTCTTCCCTGCATGAATGCAACTCCGATCGTGGCCATCTCCCCACTTGGGGTGGCGGTGGCGAGATGGCTGCGATAGTGCTGGTTGGGGGGGTAGATGGCCGAGATTGCACCCATCTTTCCTGAAGTAGCGCACCCACGATCATGCACGTCTTCCCTGCACAAACGCAACTGCGATTGTGGCCATCTCCCCACTTGGGGGGGGGGGGGGCGCAGTGGAGATGGCCACGATCCTGGTTGCCACCCAATGCAGAATTCGTGACCCAAGTCAAAATTTTCATGAAATTTATGTCCATGACCTAATTTGGTTGTGAACCAAGGCATTCGTGAGCTGAGGCACCACTGCACTTAAACGAAGGTCCTATTTCCACAAGATCTTTTAGTTAACGTGCTAAAATCTCTTCTGGCCCACCAATTTCCAGTTTTCAGTGACTGCTACAAATTTGACCTATCATGTCTGCAAGGATCCTCAGCCCCCACACTCACAAATAAGGAAAGATTGTACTCACTGTTACCCACTGACTGTACTATAAATGAGAGAATGCAGGAATGTTAGCTCCTTAAGGCTACACAGAACACAAAGATTCCTCAGAATATATGCATTGTTCCTTTAAAAAAGTAAGACAAATGTTGGTGAGCTGAGACAGGATGAGTCTTGGAAGGGCCTTCATCAAAGGCAAATGCTGAGGGGAAAACACAGAGCAGCTTTTCAGATAGCTCAGGAACTTCCTTCCTCTACATTCTGGGTGGTTGTCAGCCTTCTAAATTTGCATGGAGAGCCTCTACAAAGGCTCAGAAAGCCTTTCTCCATAGTGAAAACACATGAAGAAGAGATGGATCTACCACGCTCTCCATCCTCATGCTTGTATCCTGCTTAGATTAAAAAATGCCTGACTTGGGCTACAACCATAGAGGTGTTAACATAATTTGTGAAGCTTCCCCAGAAAGCTCATTTCATCTCCATAACCTGCTTCCAGTACTTGGGCTCAAATCTGGGAATAGCAGAGCATTTCTGAATGCACATTCCATACACATGGGATTATAGGACAGAGGTCTACTTCGCTGAGACAGTTATGAACAGTCTTATGTGCTTGCAGCTCTCGGTTTAGGTATTCATTACCATGCAAAGGGCCAAACTAAATGTTAGTCTAAACATGGAGAACCATGGATGATAATTTTCTTTGTTTATAAGCACATGCAGAATCGATTCAGTTCAAGACCATGGTGCTCTTGAAGAGGGGTGCTGTTCCCCCATTTTTGTCCCCTAATTCCACGCTTCTCCCATGGAAAGATGAAAAAAGGGGGTGGAGCTTCCACTGAAGTCAGTGGAAAACGTTTATGCTCCTGCATGGTGGAATCACAAGATGAAAGTGGATGGGATAAGGTTTAAACTAACTTTTTTGGAGTGCTGTGTGTGCTTGTGTAAGGATCACTGGCATGGCTGTTTTGGTATATTATCTCCTTGCTTTGTACGCTATTTTAAATAGCTTACTAGAATCTATCACTTTATTCCTAGATAATGACCTTGTACACTGTGTATGTGCATGTGCCTCACTCCTGTAGATCTTATACACAACCATCATTCATATTTGCACTCCAATTCTAAAACCAAGTATATGGAACACAACTGTGTTCAAATGAATAGATGTTTTACCCAGTCAGGGATATTTTCTCTTCAGCAATTCCCAGACTGAAGTCACTATATAGATCTTTATCTTAAAAAATATGGTACTATAACTGGCTATGAGAGCTATTGTAAAGAAGAATCCGTACCCATCAAGATATCCACACCTTTCTTTTGAACATGCACGTGACCTTTGAGGCAATATTGACTTGTACATGGGCAGGATCTTGAAGTACATGAAAAGGTGAAGCACACCCTATTTGTACTTCCTGTTTACTTTCCTGGCTTGTAAAAAGTTGCTAGGGTAGGACTACAAGTAGACAAACATACTAAATAAATAGGAGAACAGATCTACCCTTAGAGACAATCTAAATACTAGAATAGAATACTATTATAACATATTTTATTTTAAAAAATAGTATAACACACAGCAATGACCCTTGACATTGTTTTCCTGATGTTAACCTCTGTACCTACACTATAATTTCCTGTAGCTCTTGATCAATGGAAACATATCCATACAATTAGGAACAAGGACAAGGAGCAAGGAACTTTCCTTGGCTCAGAAAGCACAAGAGTGAAAAACAACTTAAGGTATTGAGAAGCAACTATTTAGCATACTGTATAGAAAGATGCTAATGCATATGTATTCATACATTTAAGTTTCTATTCTGTCACATTTCTTCCTTCCATATTCCTTGAAAGCTAGTGTGGTAAATTCAATACAGGAGGCTTGTCAAAAGAGGCATGATCTGTTGAGTAAGTCCCTAAATACAACTTTAGCTGCCAAGTCTTTGGATACATGAGACCAAGATTGTGAAAGAATAATATTTAGCATATGGTTTTTTTCCAACAGCAAGTGTCAAAACATTCACCTACAGAAAAAATCATTTAATGACTTAAAAAAAGCCCTCCCTCACCCCCCCGTCAAAAAACCTAATGCCATTGAAAGCATATTATTGCTAAAGCAGCCATAAATATTTCACCCTTTAGATGTTAAAACATACCCTTTTAAAAGCCATTCATTTATAGGTGTGATAGATAACAGCTGAAGAAATAGCCATATTGCTGTTGGGAAGAATACAAGTGTGAAGATCTGGACAAAAAGATGCAATTTCACATGCATCAAAGCACTTGTCAGCTCCTACAAAAGAAAGAGAGAAAAAGAGGTTGCAGTTTTAACAGCTGAAGTCAGCTCTGTTTTGTATTGTTTAAGCTGGTATAATCATCGCACACCAAGTGCACATTGTTTCAAAAAGCCAGTGCTCCAAATAAGTAAGTAACATTATTTTGATTTGTGCAAATTTAAAATAGCCAGCTGCCTACTATCATAAAGTAAACTAGCAATAAAATACAGACTTAAGTTGTATGGCATTCAAGGCTGTATTAATTATTAATTTATGGTTGAATAATATTATTTCTAACTTTATGTACTAGACTCACTTCAGATTAGTTCAACAAAAAAACAAGAAGAAGCATGATGTCGTAGTAAATGGATTTTTGAAGTGATTGGCCGTACTATAAAATACCAACAACTTTTAAAAATGATGACACAAGTCCACTACCCTCAAATATACATCAGAACTGACTTTACTTTATGCATGTATACAGCTGTTTCCCAGAAGCCACCCAGAGCTCTGTAACATAGTTTTGTGCACAATTAACTACCTAAGTACTACAGAATATGAATTCTCTGCCTCAGATTACGTTGATATAAATAAGAAACTAGGAATAAACTTAGACAAACCTTAAGGTAACTGCTTAATGAACTTAACACCATTTAAAAATCTAATTTTAATATTTAAGAGCTCTTCTCTCTCTCTCTCTCTCTCTCTCTCTCACACACACACACACACACACACACACACACATACACACACACCAAGGCACATGCTACAGTACATAACTAAGGGGAAAGCAAGTAAATTTACCAGCAATGAAATTCTCTCTAAAGCAGCCTATCTATAAGGACTGGTTGACCTATGTAGGTCCAGGGACAACTAGTTAACCACACGTGGAACCACCTGACCTGTCTGAACACGGAGGATCAACAACTCTGAAACAGAGCACTGTAATACCAAAATTAGAGCCACATAGACATGATTTTCCTGAAACATACTGCTATTTGAATCAATGCAATGACATACGCCCATTTCAGTATTTCAGGGGCATTCTCTTAAAATACTCCTAAATTTTTTTGCATCAATTTGCACTGGTTTTAATTTACAAATTTAAGTTTTATTTTTGTTGATGATATGTAATTTTATTGTTTGTATTTAATTGTGTTATTTATATTAACTATTGGCGATTATAGTGTAATAGCTGCCCACAAAGAGTGATGCTAATAAGTGGCCTTTAAACAAATTCACTAAACAGACATAATAATAAACAAAATAACTCAGGAAGAATCATTCCATTTTAATTTAAACCAGAATGTAATATTATGTCTGCAATGCAATGTATGTTCAGAAAAAAGCTCTACAACTCCCAGCTTTCCCCAGTCAGCAGGGGAGGCTGCTGACTCCTATGGCAGTGGGGATCCTTCTCCACTGCAGCTTTTAATCTCAGTTTTATAGTAAATAACTGTGATTGCAAACCTATCTTGCAGATTGAGTTCAGCACCATGGACAGCTCATATAAACCTCAGGAAAAAGCAGCAATGGAGAAAGAGCTCCACTGACACTGGAATCACCAGCCTCCCCTGCCAGCCAGGCATGGTGGTAGGACAATCCTGGGAGCCGAAGGATTTTTTTTCTGTCTAAACATGCACAGAACTGTGTGCTCAATGCACTGGCAGCAATAAAGAACCTTGTAGGAGCTAAGAATGCAGCCCATGGTATTATTTGAACCATTCTCTGTGAAAAAAGACATATTTGCTCTTCTGAAAATGTAAAATGGGTATTGCTTGTACTGTGAAATGGCTCCTGTCATTGCAAGCATCTTAATACCAGAAAAGTTAGCAACCTGATCCTTGGCTGTAGCTCAGTGGCTGAACACACTTTGCATGCAAAAGGTCCCCACATTTAATCCACAGCATCTCCAGCAAGGGCAAGAAAAAAGTTTGCCTGAAACCCAGGGAGTTGCTGCCAGTCAGTGTCAGGAATACTTGGCTAGACAGTTCCATGGTCTGACTCAAAATAAGGCAGCTTACTATGCTCCACCTTCATTCAGATAAAAAGAAGTCGACAAGAAATGATAAAGAGGAACCTTAAATTTGCAGTACCTCTGTTTTCAGCGATAGCCCACTGTTGAAGAATATAGCTGAAACAGCAATATAGGTGATGGTGATTTCTGGTTTCAGTGGTCCTTAAACACAAACACATACAAAGGTAAACTCAGACAGCTTATCAATATCAGATATGTTTCCATGTTAAGACTTGAAAGCCCTAATCTTCCCCCTCCACACACACACGGCTCCCGCTGAAGGCTATAATAGATAAAAATATGCAAGCTTAATGGCTCCCTCCCATTCCATAGCCAAGAGAGGAAAAGTCAAAATAACAAGCAGCCCAACTGTACCAGAGTGGAACTAGCGGATCTGGAATCTGTATAGGAATAGCAGGGAGATTATTCATTCAGATGTACAGATACATAATATTTTCATCCCACGATCCTGGTCCAGCTATGGCACCTCACTTCAGAGTCCAGAAATGATGAAATATGGTTGGAGAATATAAACAAATGAAGGAAAGCTCACACACCACCTTTCTATGGCCTATTGGGTCACTCATGAGCTTCCAAAGTTACCTGGGTAACCAGTGCATTCATTCCTCTCCCTAGGTTGAGAATGGATTTATGCCATGTCTTTTCTATAAAACTGACTTGGATTTTATAAAGTTCTTCTCCCCCACTATTGTAGATTCTGTCCGTATGTACATATGTTCCAGCCCTGCCTTCCTGGAAACAAAGCTGCTTCATTAAGGCAGTCTTATTCTCACTGCAAAAGTAGCCCTTATGTACAGAAAGATTAAAGGAAGCAGGTCCAAGGCAATTATCTCTGGTGTTCTTCCTAACTAGCTAAAGGCCATCAGATTTTGGCATGGCTCCAAGAAAACTATCCTGGCATTTGGACACAGGGAAAGTTTTCTACATTACCTGTTGAACCCTAATAACCTCCTCAACATTCTTCCAATGGAGCCCATACAATACATATTCATAAATAGACACAGAGGAGAAACAGAGACAAAATAGAAGGGATCAGATTAAGAAAATTACAAACTCAAGAACAAAAACAGACTCATGATCTAAAGAACAAAATCAAGGCCATAGATCTATTATTAACTCTTAATCACTACAATTTAGTTTCTATGCAGTTCTAATCTATATTTACAGAAGACAGGGGCTTAAATCTGTACAAGAAGTTTAAAGCCAGCTCCTATTGATTTTAACCTCTGCAGTGTAATCCTACAAGTCCAGATATAGCCAATAATGCAATACCCAATTTACACATAATAAACGAGGACAGAGAATCTTGCTGCAAACTGATGGTGGTAAAATGCCTTAGCTGTTGTGCTCTCTTTCATTAAAGAAAGGATGTATGGAGGACAGGCAGACCTGCAAGTTACAGGCAGTGATGTGAACTAAGATAGAAGTGGGAAAAGGGAGAAGTAGAACGGGGCTCTCCCACATGTTGATAACTTTCAAGGCAATTTTGGCTCACATGGGAGCCTGCAAGTATTCACATCAAGCAAGCACTAGGTTCATCCATGGAATCATTTATCAGAATGCCATACATACTGCCCAATAGGTACTCCTGAAATAACATTACAGCCAGCACTTCACAATGCAATGGCTCTGTTAACAGGAAAGAATTGTATTATCTCAACAACCACACTGGAAAATAAAAGCTCTAAAAAGGCCTTGCGCCTCCTTGAGAGATGATGTCTCAGTTCACACAATAAATCAGCAAGAAATGTGCATTTCTTGCACTAACTATCAGAAATGTTCTGGCACACAAGCTCCTGATTGCTTTTCATTTCTGGCTAGTACTCTGAACTCTTTCAGTATAAAGTATATGTATGGAGCTGTTCCCTCAGGTACCTCCCTTAGCTAGTTTTAGGAGGCTTTCTGTTGTCATTCCTTCCAGAATGATGGCACTGAACTAGGAAGTAATGCATGAAAAGTGAACAAGAGTGAATTACAGTAACTAAGCAATCCATGCTATTTCTCTTGGTCTGTGTGGAGTAGAAGCAACCGGCTCAATTGTGCTATTGTGACAGTAAATGTGTGGGCTGCAAGTGACTAGTTCTTCTTCTGTGCACCAAAGACTCACCAAATCTGAGAGCATCCTTAGGAGTGCAAGAGCAATCCTATGTTTTCATGATCAAGAATCCCAAGGACTGTACGATAACTCCAAAAACTTTCAGGAAGCAGCACTTCAACCTCAGAAATGTGAATTGGAAATGGAACCCCTCCCCACAACTGGCAGAAAAGAACTGCTCCAGCTGCTTCTCCAAGGTTGGAAAAGTGACTTTAGAGGAAGAAATGAGGCATTCTGAGGGTTGGAGAGGGAAAGATACCAGAGAAACTGGGATGTCAGTTATCCTGAACTTCTCCCATCCTTCTTCCCTCCCCCATCCCCAAAATGCCCTCTCTAGACAAGCTGAAAAGCCTATCTAGTGAAAATACAGGAGATTGGAGAATGAGGTGAAAACGACCTCTGCCACTCCTCCCACTATCAGTTTCAGCCACCAAGTTCAGTGGCATCCAGGCACTGAGATTATATTAATCAGTTATATAAATCAATTAAAATCTTTTTATCATCTAAAAAGATGCCCAATTAATTGATTAGCAGAGTTTTTAAAATGCCGGTTGGCAGAAATGTGTACTTTATCAATCTGTTCCAGAATTAAATATACTTCAGGATAGCCATAAAAATAAAACATTTGGGGAATGGTATTATGCACAATGCCATTTACAAATAAATCATACCTTTACTGAGCATATTTATTTTGCAGTAAAACAATATACCTGTAATATTGTTAATCAGGATACACAACAATGTAAAGTACACAGCTGCTTTGGAAACAAATAGTTTCCAGTTTTTAAAACAGAGTGTGCCATTCACAACATCACATGATATAGATGTTTCAGAAGGTAGCACATGACATCCAGGCATCAGTTAACAGCTACCACAATTCAGTTATATGAGTTGGACAAAGAAAACAGCTACATGTAGTGCACAGTTAGTGTAATTTTCTTTCATTGCACTGACCAGAGTAATGATACCCTCCTGCTCTCTTTTGGGGTCAGCAGTGGGAGGCCTGACCGGTTCACAGGCTACTTCTTAAAAAGGCAGTGTCTGCTGTATTTCCGGAAAAAAGTCTCAGCCATCATCTGATCTTACATTTAGAAATGCATGCGGAGAAAGGGAAGGGCTGTAACTCAGTGGCAGAACAGATGCTTTGCACATGGAGGGCTCCATGTTCAATCCCTAATAACTCCATGTAGGAAAAACTCCTGCCTGAAAACCTGGAAAACTGCAGCCAGCCAGTCTGTCACTGACACGGGAATTATCTCCAGCTTTGTTGTCCAACACTGCTGTATCTGTACATGCTGAAGAATTAGAGCACAATACTATAAAAGACTACTCAGAAATAAGCTCTACTGAACTTGACGGGACTTACTTCCAGTTAAGTAGATACAAGATTGCAGCCTCAAACCAGCTTGATTGAGAATTGTCACTAACCCTGGCCACCTGCAGAGGTGTGAGTTGCTTACAAAAATTTGCAGATGCAATTGGGGCCAAAATAATCCCAAAAGGAGTATTAGTAAATATTGTTCATCATGTTCTGAAAATGTTCACTAAGTTCTAGCTGCTGCTTCTCCTTTTTTAAATCAGAGTTTTGAAGGAGTTGTGTATTCTGTCAGGTACTTCAACATCTAACACTGTTCATAGCATTATTAGGGAAAGTGGGCATTTTGTATTTTTACCCTTTCTGTTGCTTCCTCATAAGAAATGGAAATAGGGTCTTGTTTAACCTTCTAGAAACCTACAGAATAACTAAGAGCACAGTAATACCAATGTATCTGTTTAAACAGGCTCATAATTGTACTCTAAATAATTGAACAGCATATTGTGAGGTCACTTGGATCTCACAAATGCTATGCACATGCTTTTTCAGTTCTCAGACCAAAAGGAAAAGTATTGCCCCTGTGCTAAAAGTTGAAATATGGAAATCAGTGGAACTTAAGATAGTCATGACTAACTTAAATCCCATTGATTTCTATAGGTTTACTCTAAATATGACCAAGTCTGGATTCAAGCCATTGGTTTTTTGCCAATTTAAGAGGAGGATGGTGAGAGAGATTAAAAGATATCAATTTTTCATTATAATTGAAGAATACCTGGAACATGCAGCTGCGGAAAACTGACTGCCCAAACTTTATTCATTTTATTCCAGCACTGTTTGGGGACACTTGGACCTAGTGACAAACAGTTTAATGCTAAATATCTATAAAAATAAGATGGTAAACTCAGAAGAGCTATCCCATTGCTCTAAGAGACAATGCTTATTCTAAGAAGTTGCGTATTATAACACTAATCTAGTAAATATAGTTTTGCATCTGAGCCATGCTTTTGCTCATATGCCAATTTAATCAAATAATCAGTTAGCTAAAACCCATCCAATCAGCTAAAACTCAATTAATCAACTTTTTGTTAGTTTGTTAACACGAACTTAAGCTTTTGTAATCCTAACTTTTTTGTGGATTTTTTCAACAATAAATTTCATCCTCAGTGTTAAGCAAAAGACGCTCACATTTCAGCATAGTTATAGATGGACAAATGAGAAGTGTCTGTTCTCTAACAACATCAACATCCTGCTTCAATAAAATCAGGGCAAGCATATGAAGGAAAAAAGAACTAAGGCAGCCCACAATGTGCAGTTGTAGCTGTACTCCAAAGCTTTTCCTACTGCCATCTACCAAGAACTAATGTTTTCTCAGTGATGCAAGGCACTTCTCTATTACCAAAAACATCACGACAATCTAAAGCAATTGTTACTTGCCATGTAACACACTAGCAGCTAGTGGCTAGCCTTAAGTTAAAGTTCTGTCCCATGACAAGCTAAATGTTCAGTATTGCAGGGCGGACAATGGATTTTCAAATGTTTGGACTTCATTTCCCAGAAGCCCCTTCTAGTATGGTCAATAGAAAAGAATGCTGGGAATGAAACCTAAAACATCTGGGTATCTACTTTATTCCCACCACTGGGTTATGGTATTTATCAAAATGGGGAAACTTTTAAAGGTGTAGACCTGAAGTTTTAAATGCCTAACTTCTCCCTATGTTCAATGTATTGTAGTGAGAAATTGTCTGACACAAAAATAGATGGGAAAGCATGCTCTAAACTCACATGCAGACCTAAGGAAAAGGTGGTTTCTGAGGCATCTGTGCTGTGTAGTAGACAATAGGTGATTAAATAGCAAACTCTGACATGAGTAAACAGCAGGTGTTGTCAAACTTCTAAAAGAGAGCAAGCACTTTTAAAGTGGCTACTGGATGGTTGTCAAGATTACAAGTGTCCAAAGACATCTGATCCAATAACCAGAGCCAGGACTAAGCAAACATACTTCATCAGAGTAAAGTAAAAAGCCAGGCATAAATTTTCATGATAATCCAAAATATCATTGGCAGCACATTTCTTTCTTTGAAGCCATTTCTCAGAAAGAACAGTTCTTCCATCTCTTGTATCTACTATCACTAAAACTGACTAGCAGAGCCTATTCTAAAAGTATAACTAAGTCTGCAGTGCTAAGCATACTTACAAGGAAGTAATTCTCATAGAACCCAGTAGGAATTTCCCTCAGTAACAATGCTTGGTTACACTGACAGGAAATCATACAAATAGTGCAAAAGCTCCATCATTCAGTTTAAAGTTAGCAAGGTGTTCTACATATATCCATCCTTAAGGATATAATAAGGTAACATTCAAGTCAGCGAGCTCTTCAGAATTTTATATATATATATATATATATATAGAGAGAGAGAGAGAGAGAGAGAGAGAGAGAGAGAGAGAGCGCGCGCGCGCGCGCACGCGAGCACGTGCGAGCGCACTCATGTAGAGGTTGTTTTGATTAAATTCTATACAATGTTATCATCTAGTCTTAAAAAGACATTTATCAGAGTGTGCCATGAGATAAGAGACATTCTCTAGTCTGTCAGAAACTGGTCAAATTGGATGTATGGAAAGAAAAAACTAACTGTTGAACATAGAAGTTCGGCAAGTTAGAATTCATGAAACTTTAGCAAAAAGAAAAAAGAGCCATTTAACATTGTTTTCAAAGCCTTTTTGTTTCCTACTAGTCTCAAAATATGAGATCCTATACCTGTGAGAAAGTTACAAGGCCTTACTTCCAAGTTCACATACACGGGATCAACCTACACATAAATGAGAGATTTGGCATTCTCTACATGAAGATGCTTCTGTTCATTTTCAACTCAATGGTTAGCACTATGTCTTGCTGCTTAACCAGTAACAGCCAATTTATTATTTTAAGCTATAGCACAGGTCAGTTAGTATAAACTGTTTATGTATGAAAAACACAGCTTTTCTTTGTGTGTGCAATAAAGATACACTGAAGATCATCTGCTACTGATTTTATGCACCAATTGTGTGTGTATTTCCAAGTTTTTATAACTACTAAAATAAATAAGGTTTTGGCAATATGTGAAGAAGTGAGCTTGTGTGAAAAAAGACAAACAGCAATAAAGTCTGCTCTTCCCTCAAATATGAAGAAAACAAGACTAACACAACTGCTCTCTATGCTTGCTCACACACTCGGGGAATGCATATACATAATTCATGCATTCCAAGCAGTTCTCTCTAGAAGAGAAGAAGTAATTATCTCAGATTAAACACATGTAATTTCCCAGGTGAAATGGCTATTTTATCTGGATGTAACTTAACACACTCCCAGTTAACAACGTATTTGTTTAAATTCCATTTTAGATGGAATTTGTGGGGGGAAACCTCCTCCAAATATATCAATTATTACTGGGAGAATTAATGAGGCAGCAGAAAACACATATTTCAGAAGATGAATAAATACAAGACTTATTAACTGGAAACACATTTTCCAGTTTAAGAATGACTCCACCCCATTACTTTACTAGACTGCCATTAGAGTCAGAATTTCAGTATTCACACTTGTGGTTCCCCTTCACTATGAAATTTAGTAGCGATGTTGCGGGAGACATTCGCCTTTCTTGCAACAATGCGGTGCGTACGTTTGCGGATGCCTTAAAAGCGACTATTTTTCTCCTTCGATTTTGGTTGCAGCGGTGAACAGACCTCCTCTTGGCCCTGCCTTGCTGCTGCTCAGCTGTACCACGCGGGAGCTGGGTCGTCCCTCTCGCTGAGCGTGCAACGTGTCAACCTCACTCCGCTCAGGAGTTTGGAGTCTCGGGAAGCTGCGGCCGCTATCGCCAACCTCAGCATGGCTGCGCTGATTCAAGGAAAGGAGAATCGTGGTCTAGCAATCCTAAGCAACGAGCAGTTGCTTTGGAAGCGGGATTTCTGCACCGCCGCTGCTACCTTATTGAGGCGAGGGGGTGGGGAGAGTCACCGTGTTGTTTGGCAATAAACGGAGCCTAGCACCGAGCCCTCGCTTGTTGAATGCCCAAGCTATTTTTGCAAGACCAGACCTCGGCTCCGACTATTAAAAGCCTCCCCGTTTCCTCTTTGTTTGCAAACAAGCGAGTTAAGCATGTGGGAAAGAGGAGTGCAAGGCGGGCATGCCTGTTCGGGAGAGGGCATGTGCCCTCCCGCTTCCAGGCGAGGCTCCTGGACAAACTTACCCCCTTTCACCCCAAAGGCCGGCTCCAGCTTGGCCACCGTGATCACCAGGACTATTCCCAGAATGAACCAGTCCTTCCTCAGTCTGTCCAACATGCCCATGGTGGCGGCGGCGTGCCCAGGAGACTTCCGCGGCCGCGAGCAGCTAGAGAGAGTGGGGTGGGAGAGATAGGAAGGGGAGTTGGTCAAGATTTCCTTTTGGCCCCTCCTGGAGACTGGCTTTGCAACGTGCCGGCAGCCGCAGCAGGGCGAGTTACTCGCTGCTCCCGCCGCCGCTGGTCGTAGGAATAGTATCCAGTGACAGGAAAAGTCGCCCTGAAAGCCGCCATCACTACCACGCGTCTGCTAATAGACTCGCACACACTCTCGCTTACGACAGGGAAAGCGACAACATGGTGTATGGTGGGCTGGGGCAGGGGGGAGAAAACGGACGCGGACCAGCACGGCCCCCAGCACACACACCGCTCCCGCCCAAGTCCTTTCTTCTCTGCGCCGCTGCAAAACGCCAGCAGGTCTAAGGAGCAGCCGCGCTACGAAGGATTCCAGGCGCTTTGGGGGAATCTTCCACCGTCCACGCCAGGCAGGGTGCAGCCTAGGAGCCGCAGCATCGCAAGCCCGCAGGAAGCCTCATGCTGGATCAGCCCCATCAGCCCACCTAGCCCAGCGTTCCTGTTTCCCACATAGAGGCCAACGAGATGCCTCTGGGAAGGGGGCTCATAAGGAGAACGTCCAGCCGCCTCCTCTCCCCCAGCGACCGTGCTACGCAGGGAGCCTGAATATGCAGACAGAGCGAGGCCCCGTGGCAGTGGCGGAGAAAAGGAAAAGAAGTATCTCGCAAGCACAGGAAAGAAGCTGCGCACTTCTTCGAGGCTTTACGGCCACTCGCTGACGCGATACGTGTGACGTAGGAGGGTGGGGCTGTGCCTTCGGTTCCTGGTGTGAGACACGTTTCCAGGCTCTTGGCTTAGGCGACATGAATGGAGGTTGAGATAAGCAGGAACCCCTAACGGGGGGCGGGGCTACCGGCAAGACACGCAGGCAGGTGGAGGAAAGCTTTTATCTAGCCTCCCTTATCCCTTGCTCCATCTACTTCAGTGCTGTCGACACTGACCGGCAGCGGCTCTCCAGGGTTTAAGGAGCCCTTCCAGGAGATGCCGGGGTCGAATCCGGGACCTCCTGCTTGTGCGGGGCTTCTGAGTAATATTAGGCTCTTAGGCGCGCAAGACTGGAACTATCCAAAACGGGTAGAACAAGAAAGAGTGGCATTGCCTGTTGATAGCCACCGCTGTCTCTGCCGGAGAAGTTCTAAGAGTTGGGGGATGGCGAAACCTCTGCCTTGTTTGAGCTGTATAAGCTGCTGTCAACCCTTTGCTGGTTATAGTGCCTATCTACTCAGACGTAAACACGTATAGGCACTACAGCCCTAAAGCACCATCCTGTGCAACTTCAGATTTAAAAAAATATATTGTTGCAAAAAATACTTAAAGGCACAATCTAATGCGTGTTTGGAAAGATGCAGCTTGTTGAGCATGCTGGGAGTTGTAGGCGTTCTTTGTCTAAACTTGCATAACATTGCACCCGTAACCTTTTCTCCCCGTGCTTTTCTTGTTGGGTATTGTACCTCTGCATCTTCTTGGAAGCATGTCATGTTATATTACTTCTAAGCCCTTCAATATGTGTGGGTGTGTTGTGGGGGCTGGGGGGGATGAATTCTAGCTACAGTTACATGGGAGTGTCTTCAACCCAGTTGAAGGTCATTGATGCTTCCTCTGAGTATTTTTTTTTTTTAATCTGGGTCTGCCCACCCCCACAGCTGTAATTCTAATCTTGATTCTGGATGGTGAACTTTTGGGTTCTGGGGAAGAAATGAAAACCAAGTTAGTTCTGTGAACCAGAAATCTCACTATCCATTAATCTACCCCGGCTCATAAAACTGCTGTGAGGTCTAAATACTTAACACCTTTGTGGAGAAAGTAGGAGATGGATACAAATATAAGGGAAATGATACAATAGGAAAATAGTTGATGGAAGTGGGAAGGTGCTCTTGTAAATTCCCATTTATTTTAAACCTTTATATATATATTATAGGACTACAGGTGCATGGAAAGGTAGGAGGGATCATGTCTTGCTACTTTAAAAATAATGACGACTGATTGATTCAAAAAGACTGTGGTGCTGCTGTCTGTATTATTTCTGCAGTTTTATATTTGGAAATGAACACATGTGGACATAGAAGCTGGTGTAAGCCAGAAGATGATTTGTAACACTGCAGTGTGTGTGAACTCACAGAGAAGAAAACAGAATTGCTGACATGTAGTGGTTGGCAATTATGACCAGTATACATTTTCAGGACTTGTCACTGATTTGTTTTAAAACAGTTTTCACATGGTGGCTCTTCCAGAACAAGCTGGCATGTGCATTGCTCCTTGTGGCGTATCCAGGGGTCCCTTATAAGGCCTTTGCCCCTAGAGATCCCTGTGTCCAGACTTTGCCCCAACCTCCACCAAAACACCAACTGCCACCACCTTCTGAATTATACAGAGCTACAGGGCTTTCCTCTTTATATGCTTAGCATGCAGGATGAATTGTACCACATGTCAGTTCTGTCCACATCAGAACATAGGTGTTTTTTAAAAAATAAACATTTATTTATTTAACATGCTACTAGTCAGAAGAAGCAGTAAGTGACTAATATTAATAATTATGTTCCAGAAATGTAACACCATATCTCTACTTTTAGAAGGTTATTTCCAATCCTTCTCATTCATACCTTGATTCAATTTCTGTTCCCTAAGTGTGCAATCCTATGCATCTTTAGACAGAAAAAAGTCCTAAAACTCCCAGCACTCCCCAGCCAGTCATGAGAATTCTGGGAACAGTAAAATGTTTTGCTAAACATGCATATGATTGCATCCTAACTTAACTTATTGTGCACCCTTATTCCTTTCTCTGTCTTTGCCCATTGTAATTAAACTCCCTTTCCTAACTTTTCTAATTGCCTTTTGCTCCATACAACATGCCGTTCTGGCTCAGTCAATCATTCCCATCTCTTATTCTTCTGTTACAATCAGAACTATGTGCAGAGTTTCTATGCCACCACTGGAATTTGCACTATTGTATGTACTTTAAGCAGGGCATGAGAGAAATCTCAATAGGCAAGCCATAAGAACAGGAATGCATTATGAAAGCCTTTGTGATTATAGTGGAGATGTACCAGTGGGGACACAGCCAGAGGAATTGCTGGGAAGAGGCAGGAGTGGAAAAAGGTGTATAGTATATTTTTCAATATCAGTTACTGGGGGATGTGATCTATTGTGCTGATGTCCTGCTTGTGGTCTTTCCGATAGCATCTGTTTGGCCACTGTGGGAATAGAGTGGTAGACTAAATTGGCCTTTAATCTAATTCAGCAGGGCTCTTCAAAGAAGACCTCTTCCCCTGCACTGGTCAAACAAGTTAGTCACTCTGAACAAAGTTATTTATCCTGTAATATTTGGGAGTGATTAGAAAATCTCATCAAGCCACCAACCTACAAAAAACATTTCTGCAGTCTTCCCTAACCTGGTGACTGCCAGTTGTTTGAACTACAGTTCCCAGAATTCTAGAACATTGAGCCTGCTGAGGGTTTAAAGTCCAAAATGTTTGGAGGACACCAGGTTGGGAAAGTCTGCAGTATCTTGTTGGAACTTTAATTTGAATATTCATTGTAGGCTATTATATGAGTTAGGATGTGTTCTAACTCATATCATAGCACTGCACGTGAGGCACTGATTTTTTTATGGTAGGATAAGAGATGAAAAGAATAGTGGGAAAACACAGAAGGAATACAAATGGAAGATGACTGCATCTGGACATCCCATGAAATTGGTTAAGAAAAGCCTTTTCTGGAAGTATCCCCAAACTGCAATCTTATACCCACTTACCTTGGAACTCAGAGGGATGTCCTTCTGAGTAGACTAGTATAGTATTGCTCTGTTAATCTTTTGAAAACATTTGGGTTTAATACAAGGATGGGCAATTTGTGGCCATGATTTCCATCTAGAGGAAATCATGAGTTTCTCCTGGGACTGGATATTTTCCTTATCTGAAGGAGCAGATGCTGCACTGCTCTGCTTGTAAAAATAACTATGGGATGAGCATGGAAGGGTAGCTGGGTTCACTAATACTAACAACCAGTCAAGTTTAATATTGCTAGTTTGAGACTCCTTCCCAAGATCCCCCCAAATGACTTTTAATTATAGTGCTGTATGCTATCTACTTGGAAGTAAGTCCTGTTCATTTAGCTTGGATTTACTCCAAGATAATTAGTAGGCTAACAGCCTTACTTAGCTATTTGTCCTGTTTCTCTATTATTTGTATCTCTGTTAATCAGTGTCCATCATAAAGCAAAGAACCCCTCCAAACAAAACATAGATGAAATGATTGCAAATTCAAAAGCAGCATAAATAAATGGATCAAAATGGTAACAATCCAGTTGTATGCATGTCTATTCAGATGCCAGTTCCGCTAAAGTTAGTGGAGCTTACTCCCAGGTAAGTGGATTGCAACCTAAAAGCAGCAACGATCAGAACTCCAAGGACCGCTGAAACATCCAATTAAATGCAGGAGAAGTATCCTGGTGGAGTTGTCCAAAGAAGTCACCCGATTCTTGTTGATTTTGTTGAACTATACAATCTGCTGATGCTTTCATACAGTCCTGTACTTTTCCATTTACTTGCTTAGAATGAGCGGCTATTGTTTGAGTGAGCACCCAAATGCATAATTGCGCCTGTTCCATGCACGATACTGTGTGTGTTATCTCTCTCCCCAACTCTGATGTATACGATCAATCGGTCAGTCTCTCTTGCACACCTTAAAGGCTTACTAGTCTTTTAGGGCCACAGGAAAGTGCTGTGCTATTTGTGCATCTGGCTCAGGCTCTCATTGGCTCTTCTGGCCTCAAAGACACGCGCTTCTCTGAGGAGAGAAGGTGAATCCAATCTTTCGGTTCAGTTGTGTCAGCTGCAGCAATGAGGGATTGACTGGCAAACCACAAGCGACTTCTTTTTTAAGGTGGGTTTAATAATAATCAAAGATCCATGCAGGCAGATTTAGAAAAGAGATTGTATTCATGTTAATAACTAATTCAATACTGTGATAAAACTATTCATAGCAAATACATCTACAATGCAGCACTGCTGAGAGCCATATGAAAGCCTTGACCTACTGCATTCTGAAACATCTGCCATTCCTTTGGGAAAGGGCACACCTATTATAAACTAAAGACAACTTAATCTCTTGTGATTTATTGTGTTTCATTATGTATGAGC